TGAGGTGGCACGCCCAGGAAGCAGGTGTGCGCTCTCACCCTCCCACCTCCCACTGGACAGGAGCAGGATAAGAGAGTAAGAGCGGCTGTGGGCCCCAAGTAGGCCCAGAGGCGGGGAGGGAAACCTCACCCTCTGACCTGCCACTGACTAGGAGCAGGGTAAGAGAAAATGGCCTTCCTACAGCCAGGTTATTTCAAGCCTTTGGCTGGGGAGGCTTGGTTGACTCCATTGGCTGGGTTGAGTTCACCTGGGTGATGTCTCATGACATGTCTCATCATCCTGGGCCTAGTTTGGCCCACCTAGGTGCACCTCCCACCTGGCTCGGGGGCTTGAGTATGCTCAGTTGTGGTCTTCATAGGCATCTGATGGTTGCCTGATTTCTTCCCAGCCTCCTCTATGGGGGCCTTTGCAAGCAATGGAGGGACCAATCACCTGTCTCTAAATGTAGTTACCTAACAACCCCATGTCCTTTCCACCAAGGCAGCTGAGAGCAGCATGGTTTCCACTATGATTAGCTTGGTGATTTCATGTGGCTTAATCAAATACAATGCATTTTGAGCTATTCCAAAAGAATGGAAGAGGTCTCGTTAGCTACCATGGGATGAATTGCCTCTTCCCAAAGGTGCCTCCTCCTATCATAGATTTGAACTGGATATGAGCCACAGTGGTCACATAGGCAGTCTTCAAATGATGAGGAAAATGAGGGAGTGTCCCAGTTTTCTTCCTACAAGCTTCCATTCACTAATCCCATAAGCACTGAGTAGGCACATAGTTTGTCCCACGCTGGATTAGATGGTGTGAATACAGAGAGAAACTAATCCCTACCCACTCAGAGCTCCCGGCTCATGGCCATTTATGGCTACTGAAAATGATTTAAGCAAAAATGCAAAGTTACTGGAGAATGCTTCTTCCTTTCCTTGCTTTACTGAAGAGCTGAATTGGGCTTCCAGGGGACAATATGTAAAGAGTTAAGACCATCAGTGAAATGCAATAAATCAGATAATTATGCTTCCTAGAAGACCCTTAGGAAGTTGCTTGGTTTGGGAGTTGGAAGCTGAGATTCCCAAGAGCAAAAGTTCACTCATGTGCCTTTGGGCCGGAGAAGGGCTAGCAGCAGCGTTCCTGTTCTGCTGAGCATTGGGTATAAGTTTGGAGCAGAAGGAAATTGTTCAAGCCAATAAAGGAGAGGCCAGTCCTATTCTCTCCTCTCTATGTGTGTCGTGGGCTGTTCTTAAATGAACAGTGAACACATATTTAAAGCGTATGAGTTTAAAGCAATACCAAATCAGCTTATTAAGGCAGCTGTCTATCTTGGACCAACCTTGTTTATGTGTCAATTTTTTTACCAAAGGGAATG